ATTATTATTTTGAAGTAGACTGTATGCGGGCATCCATTTAATCAAATTCTCTGACAACTGTTTATTCAGAATAAAGTATGAATGGCTATGCAGCACCGGGAAGGATTTTGGCTTTCAAACATCTAATCTACTAAGCCCTCCAAAATACAAACCAAAGGCAGCATGCTATTGGTGGGACATGGTGAACAAGTCCATGTAAGGGCACATGAGCACTAGGAGGCTTTTTTAGGTAAGACACAAGCTCACTGCAGTGAGGGCTGACATGGTCAGGGCTTCCTTTCCCCTTCTATTTCCTTCTCCAAACCTGACTCCTGGGAGTCCCAAACGTCATGGTGAGTGGTAGAGTCATCCTCTTGAAGCCCAGTATCCCAGAGCCCTCCCCTGCATGGGCTTTGTGTACTGAAGCCAAGGACACAGAGCTCCAGGGCACCTCACAGCCTCTGCTGTACGAAACAGTCACTGGCAGGTTTGAGGACAAGCTGGAGAGGGTGAGGGGAATGCTGAGGACTCAGAAATCAACAACTCGAGGAAGCAGAGCTCCAACCCTCCTGCTGGGAGTGGATGGGGAGGGATCAGAGCATTGAACCCCTTGCACATAGACAAGGGAAGGAGATGAAAGAAATACAACTCACTCAGTAACTGTATCAGAGAACCACAAAGTCGGGCATTTAGATATGACTTGGTCCTGGGTTAAAAAAATTTTTTTAAAGCTTTGTAACCCTTGGTTGAAATAAAATCACAGCTGGAGCATAAACAAATAAAGAAAGTAAAAGCTGAGTAACTCTGGGATCAGAGAGCTAGAAACACTCCCAAATATCCTGCACCAAACTACCTCTCCCCAGGCAGTGACCCTGGAGCGGGCCCTACACAGCACTTGGAAAGCACTGTTCAAAAACCACCAAGTAAGACGCACCACCTTTTCATTTTACAAATAAGGAAACTGACATCCAGCAGGTAAGGGCTTCCAGCTTATTTGTCTCACAGGCATCCTGGTGCACGCTCTTCTACCCCACACAGAAGCCTGAGAAGGGTGTCCTTCCACTGATATCTACCCAGAGGGACATTTAGAAGGTTCTCCAGAGAATAGGGCTATCTCCAAACAGTTACATCTATTAATTTCTTTCCCTGATTGGGTTCCCCAGAACCAATTAACAGGGCATGGTAGTCTACGAATTGGCAGGCTGGCCAGCAGCCACGTGCTGATGAGGTCTGGGAAACCAGGGAAGTGGCTCATTTGGCATATCTGTGTCACCAGGTTCGGGGAGGTGGGGGCCTTCACTTTCTCCATTTTCACTTACGTTATCCCTCATATCGCCCAACACCCCTGTAAAGTTCATAAGAGAGGGATCTACGAGTCCCATTTTATACTTGAAGAAACTGTAGCAGAAAGAGTTCAGATGACTTGCCTGAGGTTGACAGAATGAATAGCAAAGTTGGGAGTTAAATATAGATTTTCTGTCATGGTTTAGGACTCATTCAACCTCCTTATGCTGACGGCTCAGAAAATATGCTCTCCGTGTCTGGGCTGTTTCTTGGATACTTTACTCTGTATTCACCAAATAGGGCAACATCAGTGCACATTGCCCACGTAAACAGAAGGTGGTGTCTCAGTCTAAGATTCCATTGTGACCTGGGCTGTAGCAATATTTACACAAATTAAGTTTAGGATATTTGAGTGCTTGAGAAGAACTTAATAAATATTTGTGGAATGAAAGAAAGAAAGAAAAAAAAGGGAAAGACATTTACGGGTGGCAGGCAAAAGATTGTTCTCTATGGGAAAATTCCAAGGAACCTTTCAGTAGGCAGCATACTTTGTCCCAAAAACTCCAGCCAGCCTGAAAATTGGAAATCAGAAAAGAAACAGATGTTTGTTTGGACTGAGAGTAGCATCAATAAGAAGAATGACTTGGAAAGAAAAAGAGAGTAGTTAAAACTTTTTTTGAGGCAGTCTCGCTCTGTCACTCGGGCTGGAGTACAACGGAGTAACCCCGGCTCACTGCAACCTCCTCCTTCCAGGTTCAAGAGTTTCTCATGCCTCAGCCTCCTGAGTAGCTGGGACACAGGTGCATGCCATCATGCCCAGCTAATTTTTGTATTTTTAGTAGAGACGGGGTTTCACCATGTTAACCAGGCTGGTCTCAAACTTCTGACCTCAAGTGATCCGCCTGCCTCAGCCTCCCAAAGTGCTGGGGTTACAGGCGTGACCCACCATGCCTGTCTAAGAGAAAGCTTTTAGAAGTTTCTGTTTGGAAGAGTCTAGTCTTTAATTTGGAGTTTAACTGATACCCACTAGTATGTGATATGGAACAAACATCTAGTCTCTTTGTCCCCTGCCTGGTTTCTTCATCTGTAAAATGAGGATCATATTATAACAGCCATCTCATGGGGACAGAATAAGTTTAAATAAGCGCAATGCTTTGCCTAGGGCACACAGTAAGTTGTAGCAGGTGCCTGTGCTTGACTCTTCCCAAGCGTCTCTTTTCACTGCCTTAAGTACATTCTGTTCAAGTAAAGCCCTGCCCTAGTCCTGCCTGGAGCCTTCTCTGAATTCTTGATTGTTCAGCCATCTCCCATCTTGTGCATCTGACATTGATTACTATTAACAGTCAATACTGCACATTTGAGTCCTTAGTTATTAGCTATTATTTTTATGTGTTTTTATCTTTTTTTCTTCGAAACAGTGCTCTGAGCTCCTTGAAGGCTGAGATCATGTTTGCTCTTATATTCCCATGGCATTTAGCACAGGGCTGCACACATTGTTAAGTGCCTTGTGTATACTTATTAAGTGACTCACTGATTAGTTGAATGACTTGTATCCTCTATTTGCTGCTAACATCTTATAGTCTGGAAGAAAATATTCATAATTCTTCCCTGAGACACCAAATAAAACTGCATACTTCCTTGGGGGATCGGTCCTTAATGACATTTCTGAAGTCAGAAGAACTGCTTGGAGAGCCAGCATCGTGGAGCATAATGAAGCGAGGGGGAAATGCAGTAGGCAAAGGTTTCCCTGTGCTTTCTCCCAAGGATGCCCTATTATATCAAGGATCTTTAATCACCAAGTTGGGCATGCAGTGGGCAAAATTTCTTCATCAAGAATTGCCACAGTTACATTCAAATCAATATAAACCACATATTTATGATGCAGTAATGATATCAGTTACAAGCTGAACCATTAACTTAGTAAATTTTAGTATTTTTTTAAATAGACTCTTCTGCTTATCTATGATCTGTGAAAGTATTAAAATAAGTGTTGATTTAAAAAGCCAGAGCTTACTCCAGTAGCCAGCTGCAGAAGCACCTTTTCTCAGGACGTTTGCTTGGGTGGAGTCCTGGGGTTGATAGAGCTTTGGGAGAGCTGGCTGCCAACGGCACTGTTCTGGGAATTGAAGTCCTGGGTTCAAGTCCAGTTTCTGTTCCTCTAGCATTTCGCTTATAACATAAGCGGGTTGGTCACCTTGAATTTTCAGGCTCCTTCCAGATATTAACCTTCTAAAAATCTCACCTCAGTCCAATGGCTGTGCAACCAGTGGTATCCATCCTCACCTCTTCCTACCAGTCCCCACCACCATCTGATTACACAGACTATGGCATGAACAGTCTCTCTTTCTATTAGAATCTAAAAGGTGACGGTCACTCAAAAAGTGAATAGAATGCCCAATCCATTCATTTACTTCCAGTCTTTGCCTATCACACAGAGAAACTGTGGCTTTGATCCTGACCAGTGAAAACAACCAAACAAGACTAAAAATAAAACTTCAATCCTTGATGTTGACATGACAAAGCAAAATACAATGCATGATTTCCCCAATAGCTCAAGTATGTTCTCTGTTGCCTAAGAGTAGAGTATTTCCTGGAGGGCAGGGAATAGCTTCATTAGAGGCAAGTCCTGTCTTAGGCCAGTGTGTTCATATTCAACAGCTAACGGTGATCCTCATGTTTCTGAATGACATATATTCGCGTCCCAGGTAACTCACGACATTGCAATTTACTTTGAGTTGACATCTGTGCAAAGCATGTACAAATTGCAAAAGGAAAACACATACAAAGGATATGAAAGAAAGTCATGTCTGGGAGGAGAGATGATGAGAATGTCTTCTATAGCTCCAGACAGTCTACACTGAGTTTAGGGTCTGTCCCCAGCGAAGGACAAAAGCTGTGGACACTGAGAGGCCAGGTCTGAGACTCAGCCTGAGCCTTGCATTACTTTTTTTTTTTTTGCTCACCAGAATGACAGTCACGTTCTGTATTGCAAAGGCTGATAAAGGATTGGAGGGATAGTGAAAACAACAACAACAAAAAAACAATGAACCAAGCCTTTTCGGTAACTAAAAATGGAATGCACCCAGCCATGTTATGGCATCAGCCTGACCTTTCCACAGTTGGCTGTAGCCACTGTGGGCCATTCAAAGATACCTGAGAGACCACATTGAAAAGTCCACATACAAATGGCTCTGAGCTGCCCCAGGCAGAGATGAACTCTCTTCTCACTACTCCACCAACACAGGGAGGCTCCACTTTGGACAGGTAATGGTAGCCAGTGTGAGTGCCTGACTAAAGTGCAGGGAAATCACTTTGCTTACCACTCTAGCCCTTTCCAAGGACATCTCCTTCTGATTTCCAGCTCTTCCTGCCCTATATGTTCAAGCTGTACCCAGCTTTAAGTCCTGACCCACCTCTGGTCTCTGTCTTCTGGGAAGCTGGCCCTGCACCCTCTATGCACGTCTCTGCTTTCTCACTGCACCCATAGTCTGAACCAGAGAGTTTACACTTGAATATAACCAAGAGAGGTAGCCAGGAGGGTGGAAGCACTGATCTAAAGATGGCAGAAGGGCAGACAGGAGAAGGCTCAGTCCCTGGTGATGCAATGAAGCTGACTCACCAGTCCTGACATTCTTACCCCTAGACTTCCACAATTAAAAGAAAACTCAACTTCTGTCTTGCATGAGACTTGTTCTGTGGGCACATGGGAAGCTGAACTTGACGGTCATTGATGTAGAAGCCCATCAATGTGCGTTTATAAAGGAAACCTCCCCTAGTGACCTGCTGGATCAGCAAAGGCCGATCTTAGAGCCGAGTCAAATGGGCTTAGAAAAGTGGGTTTCTCAAAGAATATATTCCTCCTCTTTTAAACACTCAGTTTCCTAGCTCCAGAACTTGTGGTTCCTCTGGGATAAAAGCCAAAGCCAGAGGGAGGGAACTTCTTGTTTTGTGGTTGCTGACACTGAAGAGAAGTGCCAGGGCCAGACCTCAAGAGCCGTGGTATGACACAGGCACCACCTGTCCTCACTGCATCCTTGGTTGTTCTTGACAGACAAGGCCAGTAACTAGGAGAGAGAAGAAAGAAGGAAGGAAGAGAGCGGAAAAGGGAGTGGCTGACAGCCTGTGTACATGATAGTGCACAGAAGAGGGGTAAACATTAAACATTTTCTGCACATAGAAAAGTTACTGTAAACAAATGTTTCCTTAAAATATGTAGACAGGTGTGCTCAGTGAACATCAAGAAATAAAGTGGGCTTTGAGAAGGAAGGCAATCAGTAGCACTTATTTCACAACATATATGCTCCTCTACAGACTCGACTTAATTAAATTTCATCATTCCTTGGATGCTACTGCTACAAGTTCTAAGAGAATCAAGTAAAATTCAGCCCTCCCAAAACAAACATCAACTGAGCTATCATTATATGCCTCGAACATGATCTTTCTCCTTGAAAAGCTTCACATATAGTTGAGTCAAAAACCAACTTTTATCAGACAATAAACACATAATCTAGAAAAAGGTTCTTATGAGTAAATCTGAGCCATACTTAAAAGGGAAGCTCAATGCCACTTCCTTCAGAAACAGCTTCCATCTTCTCACTCCTGCTGGAGGTGCTCACTTCTCCTTCAAAACCCCTAGCATTTTCTTTGTATCTGTTATATATTAATTCTCACCTATTGCTGTGAAGTTTGTGCCTGTGTGTGTGTGTCTGTGTGTGTATGTGTATACATGAGCACACACATTTGCACCTTCTCTCTTCCACTATTGTTGAAGCTCCTTGATGATAAATTTGAAGGCTGCCCATCTGTGGCTCTTCCACAATGTCTGCCCCTGTCCATGGCATGTAGTCAAGCACTGGTAAATATGGGTTGAATGTCAATTAGGGAATAGGTATGGGGTGCTGAATGGCATAGAGCAGGCTCTTTCTGATGAACAATTTCAGTGGAGAGCTCAGAGTGCTCCATGGGTGAGGTCTGGCAGGGCTAGAACTGTAGTAGAATTTAAGCAGGTGAAGCAGAGTGAGGAGAACATTATCACCTAATGGTGAGAAACCCAGAGGGTGGCATCTTTTCTATGACTTGGATAAAATGCTATTTAACTGGAGGCAGGTGGTTGGTAGGCAGCAGAATCACAGCATCAGGATTTTGGCTTTCTGGATTCTAATGTGAACTCTGTTGAGTGACTCTGGAGGTCGTTTCAGTTCCTTTTATTGGAGAATATCATTTGCAGGATAAAGAACCAGAGCATGGATTTCTAAGGAGCTTTTCAACTATAGGTTGCTCCCAACATAACTGCTGTTTTTGAAATTAAAAGTAATGCCAAACCCCGCAATTACATTTTAAATATAACATAATTATGATATTAAACCTAATATAAATTATCTGTCAGTTATATACTCTTAAGACAGGTTCCACTTACGGAGCTCGTGGTATTTCAGGTATGAAAGCCTCAAAGAGTTAAAGATACACCACAAAAAATGAGGGTAATTATATTAGACCAAAATGACTCATCACATATATAACATTTTCAGGTAAGGAATCCTCCCCTCCCCACTCCAAATTCCAGCCAGGTCCAATGGCCCTTTTATTTTATGGAAGTCGTTACTCATTTTTCCTTTCTTTCCGAAAGAACTTACAGCCTTGTGTTACACAGCAGTAATGCATGTACAGACACAAGTGTGATGAAAGTCAAAGTGCTATACTGATACCCACAATTTCCCTGGCCTTCACCTTCCATAACTTCAGACAGTGGCAAGTAAGAATAATGTAGGGTGGGGCCAGGCGTGGTGGCTCACGCCTATAATCCCAGCACTTTTGGGAGGCCGAGGAGGGTGGATCACGAGGTCAAGAGATCGAGACCATCCTGGTCAACAAGATGAAACTCCATCTCTACTAAACATACAAAAATTAGCTGGGCATGGTGGTGCGCACCCATAGTCCCAGCTACTCAGGAGGCTGAGGGAGAATTGCTTCAACTCAGGAGGCGGAGGTTGCGGTGAGCCGAGATCGCGCCATTGCACTCCAGCCTGGGTAACAAGAGCGAAACTCCATCTCAAAAAAAAAAAAAAAAAGAAGAAGAAGGATGTAGGGTGGACGGAAAGGGCGTGAGGGGCAGGGGGCAACCAGAGGCTTGTATACTTGAACACATGGAAGGGTCAGGGGCTGATTTCCTTGTGGGGAGGCACTGGAAGAGATCTAAAAATATAAAAAAACCCACCCACTATTAACAACATAAAATGAAATCAGGAGTTCTTATGTATGCTTACGAAACAAAGTAAAATAGACAAAGCTCCTCTAGTTTTTTAGTATGACAGGGCAAGAAACTCAGTCTCCTCTGGGAGAAAAAAAAGAAAGTTGCTCGTGAAGATGGTAAAGACTTACAATAATGGAGACTCAGGGTGCTGACCATGGACAGGACACTGGCCTATATCACTGACATCAAGACATTGCTCATATCTTGGCCTGATGTTTGATAAACATGGGTAGTTTCAACTCAGTTCAACTCCTAGAGGGGGAAATAGGTTATCCAGATAATAGCTTCTTTCATCTTCTTGACTCCATCAAAGATAAAGGTTTGGGAAAAGCAGGTCAATCCAGGTTTGGTCTCACTGGAGCTCTGAGGTGAGAAAAATACTAAAGAACACTAGCTTTACCTGGTCATCCCTCCCGTCACCCCTTCATCAACGCTTGAATGAGTCAGTCACTGCTGTCTGTCTCTGAATGGTAATCTATTATTACAGAACAGCAGCAATATGTAGGGTGGTTACATCATGAGGCCATAGAAGGGAATCAGCATGTTTTTAGCGACAACCTCCTGCTCCAGGTAACAACAATCTCAGAGAGGAAGAGGCATGTCTTGGCATTATCAGTGATGCCAGCAACCCAGAAGGCAGGCAGTTTTCTCCCTTCAGAAACACCCATCCATTGGTTACGGACTCAAGTGCTGATTTCTTAAAAGAATGCAATAGGAATTCATAGACAAGAAACCATAGTGTAATCTACAGGAATCTTGGAAGGCGCTTCCTTGAAGAAATGAAATTAGGCCACTGCCCTTAAGAGTCTTAATTCCTGAGGGCTGTAAGCTAATTCTGTGATTCTCCAGGTATAGCCAAATTGAGAAAATGTCGTGTGAGCTAAAGATACAAGAAACAGAAGAAAAGAGGGTTGACATGGTATAATATGGTCCCTCTCAGATCAATGCTGGATGTACCCTCCTTTAAACCTTTATAATTTTGACAAAGTATATAACCTGCTTGTGCCATGGTTTTGTCACCTGTAGAATCAGGATAATAATAACTGTGCTGACTTCATATGCAGGTAACAAACTACAATGTCTTACCTTCAATGAATGTGAGCTAAGATAACTATGATAGTAGCATCAGTTACTATAAATAGTTGGGAGAGGAGAAGAGGAGAAAAAACTGTTGTTTGACTGCTTTCTACATTAGGCCACTATGAGCCTGGCAGCAGGATACTCCCTCCTAAGTTCAGAGGACAGACTGAATGAGGAAACCTCAGAGCCTTGGACTTTGGTCAAGACACTCTTCCTTGTATCTTCATCATTCTGAGTTATATTTGGAGTCAGCCAGGAGAGTAAGTGACAGCTGAGCAGACACCTACAAACTGGATTACTGGATTCTGGTCCATTCAAATAATGGGGCTTTCCAGCTAGAGGTGGAATAGCAAGAGAGAACACATTTTCTCTTTGGCCTTGCCCTCCAGATGCCAACCTCTCAACACAAGCCGCTTTCCATCTAATTCTCTGCACACTACCAGCAGTCAAGGAGGTTCCCCCTTTCTCCTTACTCGTCCTTCCTTTCAATTGCTCCTTCCTTCTCACATTTCTGAGAATAACCACATCCCACCTTAAGGCAGATGAGACCATTTTCCTTTACACATCTGGAATTCTGCAATTCTAATACAGGTACCTGGCGGTAGCGCCAACCCAGTCCTTGTGTAAACCGGGAGATGTCACAGTTTTTGGTGAGTCCAGAGGCATGATGATGACAATGCTAGGTTTATAAATATGGCAAAAGCCTATTTTTCTGAAAGTAACAATTAAAATTGGTTGAAATTTTATAAAATGAGATAAACAATATAAAATGTGGATTTGAAATTAGTATTCTAAACATTTAAAGCTGGGTAATATTTTGAGGTGCTTCACAACTACTCTATAGGACATGAATTATCAATCTTTTTAAATTTGTGAAAAATTGGTACTTAACAAATCTTGGGGAGCCTTAACAAATCTAGGAGAACCTTTCTGCAGATATTGACAAGTTTAATATGACCCTAAAATTCATATTAAAATTCTATGGATCCAGAATAGCCAAAACAATCTTGGAAAAGAACAAAGTTGGAGGACTCACTCTTCCCAATTTTAACATTTCTTCAAAGCTACTGCAGTCAAGAGTGTGACACTGGCATATGAAAAGACATACACATCAATCGAACAGAACTGATTGCCAAAAAACAGACCCTGATATTTATTGCTCATTGACTTTTGACATGGGTGCTAATATAACGTAATTGGGAATAAGTCTTTTCAATAAATTGTGCTGGGAAAACCTGATATACATATGCAAAAGAAGAAGAGGGAGAAGGAGAAAGAGAAAGAAGAAAAGGAGGAGGGGCTGGGTACAGTGGCTCATGCCTGTAATCCCAGCACTTTGGGAGGCCGAGGTGGGTGGATCATGAAGTCAGGAGTTCAAGACCAGCCTGGCCAAGGTGGTAATACCCCTCTCTACTAAAAATACAAAAATTAACCAGGTGAGCACCTGTAATACCAGCTACTTGAGAGGCTGAGGCAGGAGAATCACTTAAACCCAGGAGGCGGAGGTTGCAGTGAGCCAAGATCGCACCACTAAACTCCAGCCTGGGTGTCAGAGATAGACTCTGTCTCAAAAAAAAAAAAAAAAAAAAAAAAAAAAAAAAGAAGAAGAAGAAGAAGAGCTGGAGTCCTGCACACCAAATAAATTCAAAATGGATCATAAACCTAAATGTAAGAGCTAAAGATATCAATTTGTTAGAAGAAAACATGAGTATATTTTTTGACCTTTGGTCAGACAAAGCATTCCCAGATATGACACGAAAGCATGAGGAACAAGAAAAATAGTACATTAAACTTAATAAAATGTTATGCTTCAAAGGTCACTGGCATGAAAGTGAAAAGGCACCTCACACAACAAAAGGAAAATTTCTCAACTCACATATCTGATAAAGGACTTTTATTCAGAACATATAAGGAAGTCCTATACAACAATAAAAAGACAACCCAGTTGAAAAAAGGGCAAAGATTTGGATACACATTTCTTTTCTAAAAAAATATACATGGCCAGAAGCACAGGAAAAGATTATCTGTATCATTAACAATTAGGAAAATGCAAATCAAAACCACAAGGCAATGCTTAAAAGACAGACCTTCTAGGGTGGCTATAATAAAACAGATGGACAATAGAAAATGTTGGTAGGAACAAAGAGAAATCTGAATCCTCATGTATTGCTACTGAGAATATATAATGGTGTAACTGCTTTGGAAAACAGTTTGGAAGTTCTTTCAAAAAGTTAAGTATAAAATTATCACATGTCCTAAAAATTCTGCTACTAAGTATATACCCAAGAGAACTGAAAACATATGTTCATGCAAAAACTTGTACATAAATGTTCATAGTAGCACTATGTATAATAGCCAAAATGTAGAAACAACCAGAAGGTCTATCAGCTATTGAATGGACAAAACAGGATATATCCATATGATAGAATATTATTCAACCAGAAAAAGAAAAAAGTACCAATACGCCCTACAGCATGGTTTAACCTTGAAAATATTATGCTAAATGAAAGAAGCCAGACACAAGAGGCCACCTACCATTCAATTACATCTAGAAAAGGCAAATGTAATGGAACAGAAAGTAAGTTAGCAGTTGTCAAGAATTATAGAAAGAAAATGAGGAATAACTGCTAATGGGTAGAGGATTTATTCTGTGTAGTGATGAAAATGATCTGAAATTAGAGAGTAATATTGATTGCACAAATCTGCAAATATACTAAAAGTCACTATTTTGTACTTTTTTAAAAGATAAATATTATGGCATATAGTCATACCTTTCAAAACCTGTTAGTAAAAACAAGAGTTTACTTAAACTAGTTGAATCTTCTTCCTGAGTTCATTTATATCCCCACCTTTGATTTCTTCTGTTGTGTTTTCTTTATTTCTCCTCCCTTGTTGAGTTTTGTCTCTTTTAAGCCATTTAATATTCCTTCCAAAACAAGGGAGGGTTATAAAGAAATAAACACATAAAATTAATCTAGCTAAATTGTAGTTCCTGACTCGATTTAGGACACTTCTTATTACTGAATAGTGAATGTTTTTCTTCTTGAAAGAGAAGACATCTTTTTCTGTGCCCTGTCAGTTTCTTTCCTGACAAAAGTGGGCTATGAGTGGTGGTTTGTCTAAAATGTTATCGTTGCTGGGTATTTTCTCCCTTTGATTCTCACGTGAACTAGCTACACCAAAAGGCATGAAGAACACACAACACTAACGACAAACAGAGAAGATGCTAGTTACTTTAGTGGCTGCTAGGACCACTATCAGAAGAGAAAAAGGGTAGCCCCTACTGATTTTCCTGGACCTTTCTCTGGAGTTGTCTACTACGCTACAATTCTGGTGTTTCAGACCCCTCTTAATCACTTAAGCTCCAAGAATCACACTACCTTCCAGACTTAGCTGAAAATGCAAAGATTTCCAGTGAGCCCTAGAGTCTTTACTTCGGACTAGTGACCCTATCCACATAAAGCTTGGCTATCTGTAAAATAAGACTGAGGAGCTTTATCACGAAGTGACTGACCTTTCTAGTCAGCAGAGCTGCTGCTGGGCCATGGGAAATGAAAGGGTACCCAACAGGTGATTCTGACCGTTGGCTGTGAGTACACCTACGGTAAGGGATGAGTGGCTAAAAGGTTGTGGAGGTAAAATCCTAAGTCAAAGCTCATGGTAGCACCAAAAGTTTCTGGCAAGGAGGCAAGGGGCTGGAAAGAGTTTTCCAAAGGTGGCTTCCTCCAATTATGAAGAAACAACTCCTCTGACAGTTCTCATGGTCAATTAATTTTTGTGAGACGCCTGTTGATGTTAGCTTTGATGCTGACACCTGCTGTGACACAGTTACTTCTGAAAAGTTTGCTCTGGAATAAGGAATCCTTGATTCAGAGGTAGAAGGGACCTCAGCTTAGAGGACACTGAATACTGTGAATGTTGTGGCTTGTTCCGACATCCCCATTTCAGTCATGGCCACGGCATTCCTGGCATGTTCAGCCACTTCTTCTGTGCCTTTAGTATCAGAACACTTTTGTTTCTCAGGAAATTCTCTTGGCACCCATAACTGAAATTTGGGTATTAGTAATTAATTTACTAATTAGTTTTATCCAGACACAGTTACTGAGTAACTAAGAAGTGTTAGACATGGTGCTAGGAGCTATGGATAAAGCAAATAACATATGCATATTCCCTATCCTTCTAAATTCTACTGGAGTCACCATTCAGTCTTCTGTAACCCTCCAGAAAGAGTCAGCTTCATCTTCTAAAAGGCTTTTAGCAATCACTGCATATTCCCATATTTTTTTTTGCCCAGGACAAACATCCCCAATTCTAGTCATCCTTTCTCCCTGAACATGCTTCTTGGACTCCTGTGATCTTGATCTGTTCTTTTCTGTTCCAGCTCTGTTTTATTGATGTGGTACCCAGACACCTGCTCCAGCTAAGTTGTATCAGTATGTTATCCTAAAGCTACTCACCTCTCTAATTGTGGATCTCACACTTTTGTTCATGGTCTACATTTTCCTTTGATCCATTGCATTTTGAGGTCACCTAAAACTTCCCGTCAGAGATTGTTAGTCTTTCATGAAAAATCCATTTCTTTCCTGAGTATACCACTAGATTATATTTCTCAACTCCCATTAGTTAGATGTGGCTACCAGAGATAGTTTTAGTGGTATGTGAGCAGAAGAGACGTGTGTTTTTTCAATGAAGTCCTAAGTCTTTAGAGGAATGAATGTTCTCTTGCATGCTCCCGTTTTCCTATTTTGCCAACTTGATCCAAGAAGATAAGACCTAGCAGATGGCAGAACCATGAGATAGAAGGAGCCTGGGTCCCTGCATCACTACATGGAGAGGTATTGCTTACTAGCCAGAAACATCAGGTCCGGAACTATCATGTAGTTGTTAAGTCAGTCTAACTACAGATGACCAGGTCTTTTTAAGACAAGCTGTTATCAAGTCAGACTTGTTACAACCTCTGCTTGTCCAATTAGCTAGTTTCAATATAATCACAGGATTTCACATTGCTAAGTCTGTGAAAATGAGTTTCCATTTTGGAAGGTTTCTTTTATTCTTATTGTTAATATCAACTTTATTGACATCTTTGACCATAAGAAAAACATTATAAAGAGGACATTTAAATCCAGTGCATTATACTTACAAGAGTAGGGGAATTCAAAGCAAAATGAACAGATGTTACATATGCTCAGGAAAAAAAAAAAAGGAATATGCACTCATTCCCAGTCTTGGAGCAACAAATAGCTTTGTATTTGTGTTGTGTTTTGTGTGTATGTATCATCAGAAACCTAGATATCTTACGTGTAAACAAAAAATGGTAGTCACAGAGGAGTCATTCATTTCACCCTTATTTTTGAAAAAGACATAGTGTCATGGATTTTATAGCATGGATTCACACTAAACCTAGTCTCCAAAGTAATTGTATTTCCTGTTTGTAAAATTCAGTTCTGCTTAATTCATTCATTTATTCATCCATGTGTCCATTCATTGAGAAAATGTGTATGAGTTGCCTGCTGTAGACTCAGTACCCTAGAAGATTTTATCTAAGATAATAAGAATTAGAATATATAGCTCCTGGCCTAAAAGACCTTTAATTTAATGTGGAGACAAGCTATATATAAGGAAAAATAAATAAACTTTCAAGTATTAAATAACAACATCAGACTATCAAATGAGCAATACAGATATTAAATGTCAAAGAGTTTCCAGAAAGGAGATGAATAAGTCAATTCAGTTTAACCACTATGGTATTTATTGAGTACCTACTCTGTGAACGTAGGTGAAATGGGTCTGATGATTGTTTTGTGATTAATTTCAATAAGCATTTATTTTGTACCTAGTCTGTGCTATGCCCTGGGCATGAGGATACCTGCAAGAGGCTCACTATAGAGAAAAATAGATTGTGTGATAGGTGTTACAATAGTAATGACAGTGGTGTTTGCCCGGCTCAAAAGCCCTCACTGTTTTATCACGTCTTTGAGGGCAAGGACTTTGCCTTCCATTTCTTTGTTTCTTTCTCTCTCATTATCTATGTCATCCCCACAAAGTCCCCTTGGACTCTCTGTAGATGGGTTTATAAGCTCTCTCACAGGGTAGCTGGGCATTGTTCAAAAGTAGAGTTTTCTTACTCAGTTGGCTGATAAGTGAAAGGGATCTAAGTTGTCAATAACATCAGATGGTGATCTATTTCTACACCTTTTCCCTGACATCTCAGGGCAAGCAAGGGAAGAAGGGAAGACAAAATGCTCTGAACTCCTTGTGTGGGCAGCAGGTGTATGCATGTTGGAAAGTAGATGGGGAAAAAAAGCTTTATTTTAAACCTAAAGCCTATTTTTTTATGTGGAATAGAATGGAAACAGGTGTGTGTGTTTTGTGTCAGTAATGCTTAACTGATGTGGAATCAGTGTTTATTTGTGTGTGTGTGACGTGGTTAAGTAAGGGAATTAAGGAGTACTCACTGAAATAGGTAGTAGTAGATGGTCATGATTCTTGCAATCTATCTTTCAAACGGGTCAGCAAAATTGATAAATTTGGCAAATTTCAGCTACATTTGAATCTAGGTAGAGGTTATATGGATGTTCATTGTATTATTCTTTTAAATTTTCTGTATCTTTTTACATTTTCATAGTAAAACAGTAGTTAGAAAATGTCTATCTACTGTGTATGATTTGGGGAGGGCCTGATTGAATGCCATTCCCAATCCACCCACCCCTGGCTCTACTTTCTCTTCAGATGAAGCCTTACTCTTGATGGGGCTCTTGACAGTCAAATATCAGCTAGTACAAGAGAAATCTGACAAGCTTTACTCTTATTAAAAGGTACAGGCCAGGCGCAGTAGCTCACGCTTGTAATCCCAGCACTTTGGGAGGCTGAGGCGGGCAGATCACGAGGTCACTAGATCGAGACCATCCTGGCCAACACTGTGAAACCCCATCTCTACTAAAAATACAAAAAAATTAGCTGGGTGTGGTGGCGCACACCTGCAGTCCCAGCTACACAGGAGGCTGAGGCAGGAGAATTGCTTGAACCCAGGAGGCGGAGATTGCAGTAAGCCGAGATCGCACCACTGCACTGTAGCCTGGGCGACAGTACGAGACTGCGTCTCAAAAAAAAAAAAAAAAGGTACATACATGAAACAATATTAGCACTTAGACTCTATAAGTGCTTAATACAGGTACTGGTTAGGATAGGTTTGACAGGAGCAAAGGACATGAGAAGACACTATAAACTGTGAGAGAGAGAGACAGGTATACGTAGTATGTGGGAAAAGAGCTCTAGGGAAGTGCTGTTCAAATGATGGGAATATTAAACATCTGCACTCTCTAGCCACATCGAACTACTGAGTACTTGAAATGTGGCTAGTGTGACCCAAGAACAGAATTTTAATTTTACTTAATTTTACTTAATTCAAACTTAAATATTCGCATGTGGCTAGTGGCTACCACATGAAAGCTCTAGATGGACCATGATCCTAGACACGCAGAGTAACTAGATTCTAAAGTAAGTTGGTAACTGGAGAATTAACGCTTACTATGGGAATTTAAAAGATACTGTATGTTAAAGTACATATTGGTGGGAAATAAGAAAAAGCGGTGGTTCTTAATGATTTACGAACCTCAATGGTCCAACATTTCTAAGAATGCTTGTCCCTGGGTAATATTTCTAACTGCTCAAGTCATGATTACTGCAGAATGGATCTGCCCAGTTTAACAGCGCTTCTATGTGCAGTATATTTATGCCCCGAGTGTATAATGTCTGGCTGTAATGACAGAAAAGGTGGATTCTAGGGGTGGAATACATCATCAAATCGCTAGGATGTCACCAAGCCCACTGCGTGGGTTAAATGCTACAGGCAGAGGGTTGTACCACCCATTCCCCACCTTCCCTACCTCCCATCCTACCCAAAGCTTCAGCCAAAAGGAAGAAAATGCCTCCCACATGGCCACAGGCTGTAGTGCTGCCCCTCGGTGGCCAGAAGTCACTCACATGCAGGCAAAGATGATGTTAAGAATACAAAGAATCAGAAAAAGACTGAATTCATTAGATGAATCTGTTTGGCTTCAAAAGCTAGAATCTCAAAAGTCTATCTCCTGCTGACTTTATTTTTCTTTCAACTTTTCAATGCCATTGCTCCTGCCTGAACAAAGGACAAGAAAGTCCAGTCTCATCCCAGAATAGATAGAAGAGCACAGAATAGACAGCTATACACCACTGCAGGACTCGAGATTATTGCTCATGCTGGGCAGGGTGGCTAATTCCTCCAACAAAACTAAATTAACAATATTAGCTCAAGTGAGGAAGCTGAATCTTCTCAGGGTGTTAAACAGTTTGTTCTGTTTTATATATTAAAGACCCATGTACAATTTATTGTTTTTGTAGAGTTAAATGAGTTCACATGTTACATTTAAAAGGTTGGGGCAGACAAGAGATTTTATTTGTTTCTAGTATTATCTGGCAGAGTATAAAAGTCCCTGCACTCAGAATTGGAAGGCTTGGGCTCAAATCCACACCCTTTCTGGTACCAGCCAAGTGCCCTGGGGCAATCATTCAACCCATTTCCTTCACTGGTGGTTGTGGCAGCCCTTCTCAAGCAGAGTTGAGAGGACTTAGTTCCCTAACCCAGTGGTTCTCCAACCAGAGTACGCTCAGAATCACCTGGAGGGTTGGTTCAAACAGTACTGAGTCCAATCCCCAGAGTAGGCATGGAGTATAGCCTGAGAATTTGCCTTTCCAGCAAGTTCCCACGAGAAGCTGATGCTGCTAGTTCAGGGGGCACACTTTGAAAACTAATGTCCTGTGGCATTCATTGTGAATGAATTTTTATCCTATGAATCTAGAAAGGTACTAGCTATGTATCATCCTTGGGAGAACAGAGAAAATAAATCACTCAAATCATTTCCTGTAAGACTATTTTCTTATGAAACACAGGCTAGTTACAAGGATCAATGGAGAGAAAAGCTTTGAGGTGTGTTCACAGCTGTAAGGCAGCATAAAGATCTCTGTAAGATCAATAGTCAATTGATGGATTCTTCTTAAGTTTGTTCTCCAATTTACAGTTTGACATTCTTGAACTTCTTTGTTTTAAGAGCAGTGATTCCCAAACTTGGGCCATGAATCAGAATCATTGGCAGGACTTATTAAATACAGATTGCTGAGGCCCAACCCCAGAAACTCTGAGATAGAAAGCCAGGGAAAAGACCTGAGAACCTGTATTTCTAACAGGTACTAATGATGCTGCTGTCCTAGGACCACTCTTTGAAACCACTGTCTATTCATCTCAGCTTTCTTTCTCTTTGGCTGGACCTTCCAGTCCAGGGGTTGGCAAACTGTATCCCCTGTTTTTTAAATAAGTTTTATTGCAACACAGCTGCACCCATTAATTTTTTGTATGGTCTATGGCTGCTTTCGACCTACAATGGCAGAGTTGTGTCATTGCAACAGAGACTGTATGGCTTGCAAAGCCTAAAATATTTACTGTTCAGCTCATTATAGAAAAAGTTGGCCAACTTCATCACTAGTCTTTTTCCTTTCCTTTAAGCATAATATTTATTAAATATCTTATATTTAAAAAGCATTTAATATATATTTCTCTATTTTATCATCACAATCATAGAAATGAATTTTGAGTCTCTTCTACCTTAGAAGGATGAATAATTTGTCCAAAGGCACATAGAATCTGAGTCAGGACCAGCTACATAGTTTGTGGAGACAAATGCCTAATAAAGTTGTGACGCCCCTTGTTCAAAGATTAAGAACTTCAGACAGCAAACACCAAGCACTAAACCAAGTATGAGATCTTCTAAGTATGAGCCCTCCATGACTGCCAGGGTGGAATGGCCATGAAGCCAGCCCTGGCCTGAGTAGGGAGTCCAGCCCTGAGCTGTCTGGTCCCAAGGCTTGGAGCACTTTCCTACAAGGCTGACCATACAGCATGGCGAGTGTGCACTGGCACGGGTAATTACTGCAGTTTTATTTTGGAGACAGAATCTCCTTTCATGTGAAACCATGATCCATTGCAATCCCCAATTATGATCTCCTTTGGGGCAGAATGACTCTCTCTATTCCCCAAAACAGTTTGGTATCTGGAAGTCACTCGACAAATGTGGCTATTTATTTAAAAATTTACTGTCTTTGTTCTAGTGAATATTTAAAATAATTTTTCAATAAATCATTGGTGGATTAGTGGATATGAATAAAGGCAAAAGCATAGAAAGACACTGAAGAGATTATTGTTATAACTCTACAAAAGGAAAAAAAAACCTGATCTACAAAAACATTATACCTTATTTTACTATCCCTCAAAAATTCATGGAGGACCCCAGACTAGAACCCAGTATCTCCTGACATGAGACCCAGGACTGTTTTCCAAACTCAGCAGAGAGTATTTCCATTTGGGCAATCCCTCAGTGTTGAGGTGTAAGTGACAGCAGTTAAAAAACACATGGAAAGCCAAGCCAGGGATCATTTTAAAGAATGCAGCATCTCATGTTATTTGATCACTATATTCTCTGAGCATTTAATCCTCTCAAATATTTTGCAATCACTTCCTTTAATTACAGAGAAAACACATTGGAGTGATGTGGGTGCTCGGGTGTGTCCCCTCCTGTTTCCTTCTTTCTGTTTAATCAAGAATTTGAATCACCTTTCAGCTTCCTAATCCTCTAATCCTAAAAGGAATTTACTCTGCTCCAAACTGCTTGGCAAGACTGTATAGTAGAACCCAAAGCCCTTTCATGAAGACTGTGAGAAGGGAGAGAAAATCCTGGAGGCAGGCTTCCTGGCTTCCTTCCCAAAACTCAGGAAATTGGGGCCCCTTGAGAGAATTGTCTTCCAGCTAATATTTTGAAGATACACCTCTGGAACCCCTCCATCAGATTTACCTTCAGGGCTTATTAAAATTCTAACTTTCTAGGTGGGTTCCACTGTAGCCATGCTAATTTAGAAGTTGGAAACAGAAAATATATCTATCCATCTATATCTTTCTATCTATATTTAAATTTTCCCAAGTGATTCTCCTATGTACCAAACATTGAGAAGTGGCTAGCCATTCACATCCTCAATGTACATTCACTAGGTAAATAAATTCATTCTAGGAAACTCATTGGCACATAATAGTGTAACTCAGTTTAAAGGTATGAGTTATAAATATATAGCATCAAGTAGTCATGTGGCTAAAAAGGCCCTTGATCAATATGAATCACTGTTGTGGGATCCAGAAAGAATGTGGAGGAACAATGAAACAGGCATCTCTCTATGGAAAGCTATGCTGAGTGACAAGTAAAGCGCCTGAATGAGTTTAGAGTCAGAGTTTCTATTCCTCAGAAGTCTGGGCACTATCACTGCAATTACTATACACACCTACCTTTCTAGGACAGCTGATATTTCCAATATTCTGACTGTCTCCCCTGAACACTCATATACTGGAAGTCTCAACATTTCAGTACCACTCTACATGCCCAGAAGTGCAATAAAATCCTATATCAGACCACACGTCTGTATTTCTGGCTGGATGAATGTGGTCACCATAACTAAGAGAACAGCCCGAAGCTCAGATTGTCTTCCCCCATTAGCACGAGAGCTGTCTCCCTCCATCTAAAAAGATGGCCTTGCTTTGCCCCTGCACAGCTGCTCTTGTTCATACGCTGCCAGTTACACGGCTGCTCACTCTTTTCTATTTACCTATTCTCTGAGAGCAGGAGCAGCATTTCCTAGTTTTCTCCTCTCACAGACGCACCTGCAGTGTTTCCCACACAACTCAATTAATGCTATAAACTAGTAAAAGATGATGGCCCCCGCTTGATTCGAGGAACTCATCAGTAAAATGAGCCCGATGTGTCCCAGACCACATGCTGGGAGGAATACGAATTTGTAACACACCTTCTCATCAGCCCCGGGTCGCTAAATAGGGCAGACTTTTTTTTTCCGCGGAGCCTCCATATGTTCGACTCACATGGATCAATAGAAGCACCATATTGTCTTCACAAAAGCTTCAGATCCTCACCCTTTCTAATATACAGAAGGTCCAGATTGTTTTTTCTCAAACACAGGGATGCCCCGAAGCTTCAGCTGACAGCGTGGGATAGGGAAGCAGCCCACAGTGAGTTATATGGCCACAGACTGTGGGCCACACCTCACCAATTTGGGTTTCAAATAGCCCCCAGAGGACCCTGCAGAACTTAAAAGCAGAGAGATTCAGCAACTCTGGAGCGAAATGCAATCTTAACCTCTAACGTGTTTTTCTGCAAAAAGGCAGAAAATCAAAAGTGAGGAGTGCACAGCTGCCCCCCCTAAAAACGAAGCAAAGTCTCAACAGGAATGAGTCAACATGCTCTGGGCGACAGCTGGGTAAACATTTCTGATCAAGCCTCACAGTTTTGATAGAACCGTGTGTGTGTGTGTGTGTGTGTGTGTGTGTGTGTGTGTGTGTGTGTTTGTGTGTGTGTGTGTGTCTCTCACAGTTTTGATAGAAGAGTGTGTGTGTGTGTGTGTGTGTGTGTGTGTTTGTGTGTGTGTGTGTGTGTGTGTGTGTCTCACAGTTTTGATAGAAGAGTGTGTGTGTGTGTGTGTGTGTGTGTGTGTGTGTGTGTGTGTGTGATGGTACAGTTGGGTGGATTGATGGCTGCTTACATATCTGTAACCACAGAGTACAGAGTAAGAAGGACATTGCCAAACTGGAGAAGATAAAGAGAAACCCAAGCGATGGTGGTGATGAAAGCAGACAGATATCACAGGAGGAAAGATGGGGATATTTAACCTGGAGTGTCAAAACTTGGATATAAAGTGGGAAGGGTCAGGGATGATGTCTGTCTTTAAATATACCAAGGTCCAAGGCATGGAAGAAGAATTAGACTTATACCATATGCATAATTCAAGGAAGAGACTAATGGTGAAAGTAGCTGGGAAACAGATTTCAGCAAAATATAAAATGTTTTCTGAAAATCAAAACTGTTCAAAAATAGAGAAGCTGCTCGAAGTCAGAGTCCTTTATGATATGAGAAGTTACAACAGTGAGCCTCCAAGCTTCCTTCCAATACCAATTCAAAGATTGTGTGCTGAGAGACTGCCCCTCATTATCAACCAATACCACCCCTTTCAGCCCACCTGCCAGGGGTAGGCAATGAAGTAAGTGGCAAATGGCAATGTTAAGAGGATCAAATGTTACAGGCATGCAATGCCCAGGAAGTCCGACACTTTCACTGAGGCAGTGATCATCATGCTCCTATTAGGGAGTGTGTGTAAGGAGGGTGGGTGAGCATCCAGGCATAAGGAAATGATTTTTACTCTGCCATTACACTGTTAGGCCAAATTCCCTTTAAGAAGGCTTTTGGATT